TTATTTTAGGAAGCAGATTTCCACACTATCCAGCCAGTATTTTAGGAGACAGATTTCGTTGTTTCCCGTCGGTATTTTTGGGCACAGCTTTATATTTTCTACTAAAATTCATAGTTTCAGCCGATTTATGTTGTACACTCTAACTACTTACTGACCGGCTTGATGGATCTTCATTATAATCCATTTATATAGTTTGTTTTGTATAGGAACTGAAGCAAAACTACGTTTGAATTTCCCACTTCTCATATCAGTGACATCAGTAAGTTCAAATCCCAGAACAGTCGAATTTTCCAGAAAAATATAATATAGTTCCTCGTGTCATTTTAAACTACAAGCACATAAAATGGTTTGAACACATACTTAACTTTATTATTTATTTTATATGAGAGTGTATATGTTGAAAAACTGTTAATAGTTTCATAACTTCTGCTTGTTTAAAATTAACGCTGTTTTTCGCGCATTGATAGAGTACATGTATTTGGAAGTGATGCGGCGCTGATCGGACTCGATTGTTTCCTCGGAAATTCTTATGTTTCCATCGACTGGAATATTACGTTATTTTCATAAGCATAATTTGTATTATATACTCGGATATTTTCAATTAAAGTGGTCCTTTCAGTAGGTGACAACGATTCCAAGGACATTTCGTTTGAAACAGATTCCATGTCTTATCGGTCAGATTAGCATTGCGATGACCTACATAGCTAAATGCTAACGAAATCAGAAAGTTCTCTGACTATAGGCCTATTGAAAACGAAAGTATCTGTTGGCCATGTTTGTTTATCTAGGACACCTGGAGCTGTATTCCTACACTGACCGAATCACTGTAAATTGAAGTATACAGTCTCAATACTGGAATTTGGTTTACTAACAACACATAAGCAAATGCAACACAGAATGTAAATATAGTAAAATCATTTTTTGTAATACTATTAATAATTCATATTTAATATTTTAATTACTAATATGTTTCTTTCTTAAAATTGAATAGCATGATGTAGTTTATTAGAATAACATTTGTAGAAAATAAAGGCGTTCCTCACCTTAACAAATTAAATTACATTTATAAATTTGACAACTTTATGACGTTTTAAACAGTTATTAGCTGGTAAGCGTTTCATTTAGGAGATAACCCTACTTTATTTTGAGAGTTGTGGTGGTATAACTATGATAAACCAACCCAAATCTCAAAATACGGTAGGATTATACCTATTCTGATTCATAACAGCTAAACATTTGTGAGTTTTGTTAAAATCTGTGTCTCTCTGCCGTGGATTTGTGATAAAGGCATAGTGTGCAAAATTATTTTGACCTTTCGAGGTCATGATACTCTTCTTGGCGTCATTATAAATCAATTTTATGAGGTGTCGGGGTCAGCCAGGGTCATCGACGTCATTAATAATCACCATCCGGGCTGCATATGCAAATAAGAAATTTGCTGACGGTATATCGTGGTTTATCGTCGCAAACAATTTTCTTTGACCAATAAATGCCGTGTTACATCTCAAATGAATTAAAATAAGGATTAAGTTCTGATATTTTTAGGATAATGGGGTAAAAACCGCATTGTGTCTTGAGACTAATTTTATCAATTGCCAGGCAGTCCGTTTGACTTTCAGACCTCATTAACATCAACTGAACAGGATATAATTCTTACATTTATATTTAGTGGAATTTAAATATTTTTTGTTATTCTAAAATATCGTAATTGTTCATGGAGAAAAAAAAACCTTCTTACTCTTCAGGAGGAATATTTAGTCCAAATTAAGTGGAAATGTAAATATTAAGTAAACGACTTCGCCTGACGTCACATCCATTGTTATGAGTCGTAGTGGGCGAGAAACGTAAACACAAGTATCTAAATCTATCAAGTGCTTGGACACTTCAGACGTGAGTACAAATTGACGGTTATGTCTGTTGTGACGTAAATAAGGCTCAGTAACATATTATAAAGAAGACTGAAAATTCCTGTCAACCAGTCACATAAAAGCTTCTTGCGGTTTTCTGTCACATCATTTGATTCAAAATGTGATAGTCGATACATTATTGTATGTTATCAAGATTCGACGGTTTAGTTGTCTTATTATTATGCTGTGCTATCGAATTTCTACGGTACACGTGTTTAGATGGTATGGAAAGTAAAGCCTGCATGAAAACAGAAAATTACCACACTATAACTTTATCAATTTCGTATAAATATAACAAAATTGAAGATATTGTCTGAATGCTGACTTTGCAATACGGCGCACACTTGTAAATATGTACAAAACGCGAGGTACACAAATCGAAATAGGGAATAAAATTCGAACAAAATAAACACTGAAGCTAACATTTTAAAAGATAAATTGATCTTGAACCGAGACAAATATGCCTATATTTTCACTTTTGAAATACCCGTCATCAAATACTTATCCTTAACAGAAAGACGAGAGAAAGGACAAATACAATTAAGATATAGTGCTATTTAATCAAATAGGATATCTTAAGAAAAAAGATGTACTTGTGATCTGTGTACATGCATAACGAAGATGTTCACAACCATACAAGACTGTTATGAAACTAGCTCTGATCAGGACAGATGCGGAATATTTACCCCGTAAAATTAACCGACTGTACAGTATACAACGTCTTCTTACTATAACAATCAATACTTTACCACCTTATTGTCGGATTATCCTCAAATGATAACCGTTACGTTTTTATTACTTTCTAGTTTATGATCATCAGTACCATATGTCACTCATCGTTCATAAGTTACCAGTATTGAATGCATAGTTATCCCAGGACAAGAATTAATTTATCTACCTATACTCAGAGTAGCATGGCAATATGCTGCATGTATAAAAGAAAGATGAAATATCTATTGCCTAATCTGAAACAGTTAATTTGCTCAGTTTAGATTTTTTAGCGCATAATAATACATTAAAATTCCTCATTTCATACGTTTTGTAACAGAATAGAGTATGATAACAGTAAAGTGTACATCCAGGTAAGGGAAATGGTATAAAATAATCTGTTACCTACACCTAGCTAATCGAATATCATTATACCAAGATTAGTACTAAAATCTTTGTATGGTAGCTGATTTGTGCAATTTCGTTCCTGTTTTATTTCGCGCTTTCAGGGGATGTAGGCACTATAAATAACATCCCATCGCCTTTGTGTTACAGGGGGCGAATTAACGCTTACCACTTCCCTTCGCGGCGAAGTAACAATACTTAGCGTTCCTTCGCGCCCCCCTGATAAAAATAAATGAGCCAACATATATATAAACCACCGTACTTATGTGTATTACTCATTTCAAAATCAGTTGACTACAGCAACTGTTACAGTATGGTACAGTTAGACACGCCATCCTGTTTCATTATCGTCATCTTCCTAGTTCTCTTGACTCACAATCACAACACGCAGGCGTATACTTTCCAAGGATATGCCACGGTCACCACAACTGGTAAGTGCATAGTTTTGTTTGTTTGTAATCTAAAACACTCGGGGGAATTTGACGAAATTTTGATGACTTTGATAAGTGTGATTCATCATGATCTAACTGATTATTAACTCAATATGATAACGGATATGCTTAGCATACTGTCATAGATTTGAAAGGAACATTACAACGCATGGCAAATAATTATAATGAAGTGCTTACTCTTTTAATCATAAGTGATCATCTTCCATTTTATTATTATGTTGCTTATCTGACAGTTGAGAAATTATTCAATACAACTATGCAACGTTATTCAAGTTCCAGATGCAGTTTACTCATATAAGTCAATTTCGTTTCGTCACGCGTTTATAAATATAATGTAGGCATGTGGTTGTTTGTTATTTTTCAAATACATACTTAACGACATAGCATGCCTAACGGATACTGCAAAATGGTTAGCTAATTCCAATATATACATGTTTTACCATCTATTCATTAAATATCGACTTCAGGAAATTTCCGGATAATTATCATTTTTGTAATGAAGGGATGCAACTCAGTCTCGTGTTATGAATTAACAGTATGATGAAAGAGTAAAGTGGTTAAGTTGAAATATATTGCATTTCAAACAAAGTTTTTTTCAGAAAGTATCACATAACAAGCAATTAAAATTAAATCTATATATTCACACCTTCACAATCCTTTGGTTTCATTATTTTATTATTTTGTTTAGTTACTGGCCGTCCGTTTTCCTTTTGTGATTACAAAGGAATACGGTGGACTAAGGGAACGATCCGGTTTGCTAATCACTGCGAGGAGGCGACTTGTGTTGGCGGAAGGATGTATGGTGTCGGGTTAGTATTACATAGGTTTGACAGGGGTTTCTAGTGTAGTATAGAACAAAGAGGCCCAGAGGGCCTTCATCACTCACGTGGATACTAAATTAATACAGACAAAGTATTCTTACTAATAGGAATATTACATATTTATTTTCAATGTGTAAGTAAATGCCTCTATTCCAAAGAAGACAACATCCTGGCCTTCCATTATGTGGCAGCTCATGCTCTGCTATCTCTGTTCCTATGTTTCATCAGCCACCTTAACACAATTTAGTATGTTAGAGGATTTAACACGCAATATTCTCCTTTTTTTGGTATTTCCCAGCTCCCAGGGAATTCTGCCTTATTTACGATATTTACTTAAAAGTCTCTGAGGACAAAGTATGTCTCCAAATCAAATTTATAGTCTAAACTATAAGCATTTTGTCTTTCATTTTGCTCTGGCGTTTTCTTGGCTATTGATGAGGTTTTTGTTTTCAAATCAACTTTAATTTTTGATCCTAAATTCTTCTATATCAGTTTCGACTGTGAAACTAATATAATCTAAAATTTAAAAAGGCGTATAATTCGATTGTTAAAGTTATCATTTCATCGCTTGTATTCAATAGACCTTGCCGTAAAATTTGACATGATTATTTGTTATTTCACATTCTATAATCGACCGTTGGAGGTGTTTGAGAATAGCCATTGTTATGATGAATGGTTTTAGCAATATTTTCCTAGATTTACTATAGAAAAACATATTTTATAAGTCCTTATGATGGTATTTATTACTCTGCAGATATGGTATAAATGCCGGGGTGATGGTCTTAGAAGGGTGTTCTATCTACAAGGACGGGTGTAATCCGTTGCCATGGACTGAAGTTAATGGGGCAAATGTCACGTGTTTTAGCCATGAGCTAATTCCAGGGATGAATGTCCAACACTAACTGCCTCTCCAGAATATCGGGTTAAGGAAGTGCTATCGCTACTGATCGCTTAGCCCCGATGATCGTCAACGAACTTCTCCTTACAGAAAACTTAAAATGTCATGCTACGACCCATATTCCGTTGGCTTACAAATCAATTATCTTTTGGTGCTATCTCCCGAAGCCCTTGGATTGACCTCAAATTCTTTGTGGTTCATAAATTCAAGCTTGTGTTGCGACACTAAGATAGTATATATTTATACTGTTTTACTTCAGCAGAAATCCTTATTTAGAAAATGTATAGATGAAATAACCTGCATCACTAAATTTAATGTTTTGAAAGTTATTTTTGATGTTATTTTGATATTCTTAAAGTGTATAAAATACATTTTGATCGTCTTTTGGATTGTTCAGATAACATACACATGCCTGTTTATGCAATCGACGATGCCTTCTTAAAAGAAAACGGGAATCTTATAGAGATATCACAATCACTTGGTCATAGTGTTATAACCAATTGTGAATTTAATTGCCACTTTTGCTGCTTTTAAGATGAAAAACATACGATCTTAGATACGATATTCCGACATGGATCATGTATAGACAAAGCTGACATATATTCACTTAAACTATGGAAAAGGTAAACTGTTGCATTTGGATAATTTTACACATTTTTAAAACAGCAAATCATGATATATAATGTGCCATAAATGTTTGTATATATTATAGCATATGATAAACATGCATCCTCATATTAGGAAACCCTTGATAAATATTTAACCGGAAAACAGAAAGCCTCCGTCAAGAAAACCAGAAAAGCGCGATAGAATTGAGCTTTGCAGTCCGGGATGGAAGTATTGAAGTAAACTGAAACAAAATATTTATTTTATTCTTCATGGAATATTTCTATCACAATATGTTGACGATTAAAAGGAGTTTATTTAAAGGTTAATGTTTCGTTCAATACAAATAGTTTACTGTCTATACAACTGTTATTGATTACACAATAACTCCATGCGCCATCTGGTTGAATTTGTTTTCAACACAAATAAGAAATTTATAGCGGCCGATATTACTCATCTGTGACGTGGAAGTACAGTGATAAAAGATATGTCAAATTATATTTTCCGGAACTTTAATAACAAAGGGGCGCACTGTAGATTTATCTCTAATCCTCATCTTTGAAAAACGTTGAAGAAAGCTAACACACGAGAGCAGTATTGACCCCCATTTTGATGTTTCTTATCCAATCGACGGAAGTAAGGCATTCACACTACTTATGTGTTGCACAAGCAAGCATGTCTTTTATCATGGGGCTAATATACATAACTAGTTACGGAGTGTAACTGTTGAAAAAAATCAATTCTGAATTACAATTTTGAGTTATTTACAACGTCCGTTTTTGGGCATATACTGCAATAACCATACGTTTGCCTTCAGGAGATCAAAAGAAATGTGATCTCTAATACACTGGCAATTTGCGAATTTGAACATCCTCATCGGAGCCCCTTGCAGTACGCCAAACATTGATGGATACAGTTATTGGTTTTATCTTACTGATTTTATACTTTGTTACAAAGAACGATATTCAAAATCTTACAAACATTACCTTAAGGATCTTCGCTGAACTGTAGCGTAAATAAAAGACATTGAAATAACAAGAGGCCCAAGGGCCTTAGCGGTCACCTGAGTTATATCATAGATACTGGTAACTTTATTTTATTGTTTAGATGTGATGTGGAAATCAGCATGTAAACTAAGTGAAATACAATACTTGTCATGTCATCAATGGATAAGAATTTGAAAATATTGGTAAATGTTCCCTTTGGGGCCCCGCTCTAGCCCCTGGGGATGGGGCAGGAATCCTAATTTTACAAAGTAAAACTCTCATTTACCCAAGATGATTCTGACTAAGTTTGAGCAATTTTCTGCTGAAAATGGATAAAATATATACCGAAAAGTGTTATTTCCCTATATAAACTATATTAAAC